CCTTTGTTAGTGTCAAAGCTCTTAATTTAATTTTCAAATTCTCTGACTTTCATGGATTGAAAATGAAGCTAAGGATGGAGCTAATGAGTGGGAGCATGCTAAGAGGGTGGCATGAGGGAACAATCAAATTTGCGCCAACGTACAAGTACTGTCTCAACTCAGACATGTACTATGGATGTTGTTACCATGGAAAAGGGGCAGAGAAGAGGAGAGCTCCTGCATGGTATATATATGAAGTATAATTAGGACACTACTAAGAATATAACTATGACTTGATTATTATTCTGTGCTTAATTATGCGCTGTTCATTAATCAGGTGCGATCGGATAATATGGTATGGCAAGGGTTTGAAGCAGCTTCAGTACACGAGAAGTGAATCAAAGTTGTCAGACCACAGGCCCGTGAAGGCAATGTTCAGAGCAGAAGTGAAGGTTATACCAACACTGAAGAACTTGCATAGCCTGCTTCTATCAGAGAGATTTGAGCAGCTTAAATCCCACATTCAAGTTTCCACCCTGATGAGTTATTATGTAAAAAGCAATCAAGCTTCCGGTTATAGAGCAATTATTTGTGTGATTACGTACATGATTAAATTTTTAATGCTATATATATTCTGAAAAACTTAAAAAGAATGGGGCAAGAGAAGACGAGAGAGTGGGAGACGAAGAGGAGTAAATTGTCAATGCAGGGGATAGATGATAATATAATTATAGTTTTTCTTTGTTGATGATGTATGGCGAAGTTTAGCTGCTTTATTATTTTATAGATCTAGTTTTTTTATCCAAGGTTAATTGTATTCCACGCCCTGGATTCTCGGATGCTAATTAAATTGTTCATTATGAAATAATCAAACTTTCTATGTGTGTAGTTAGTGCATGTATATATGGTATTAACAAATTTCAACCTTCTAATTGAAATTAACTATACTCCTTTTTATTTATAAAAGAAACTATTACTTTTTACTTATTTTTTTATATAAGTAAAATCAACTATTTCAATAAACATTTATTACACATTTATTAAATCATCTCTCACAATTTATTTTAATTAAAAATAATTAATATATGTTTATATTGATTAACATTTGGTATTTTAGTCTAATTTTTTATTTTTAAATATAATTATTGTAGTTAATTAATTTTTTTAAACTGTGTAATATAATTTTATATATATATATATATATATACATGTAGAAACGGATGGAGCAAATGTCTTGGATTAGATTCTTTCATCTGATCATGCATGGACCTTCAGTATTAATCAAATTAAAGAATGAAATATCCTGGGTCCCACTCTCTTCATCTTCAAGTCATGGATCGCATTTAATTAAGGGGTTTCAAACTACAGACAATATAATATAAGCAATAATTGAGCAAGTTGGGCGAGGACAATGGTCATCAGTCCTAGTGATCACGCGCATACTAATGCATCAGAGCAACTGGAAAAAGGAACACCACCCTCTCTTGTCCTCTGTGCAAGTAAAGAGCAAATTTAGATAGATTTTCTTTTTTCATTTTTAATGATATAGTAAATCGATGATGGTACTAATGTTCTAAATTCTTCAGGGGAAAAATTAAATATAGATAAATCTGAATGAGCTGAAGTTGAAGATATCATTTTATAAATGCAACTTGCCAGAAGAAAATAGTATGGTGTATTGGCCGATAAAATTTAAGGCGCGTGCAAATCCTTGTAGACTGAAAACAATTTTTTTTTAAAAAAAAAAGGCTGTCAAAGGAGGCATGATCAGTTACAGTGATCGATGCTACATTTGCTTGTTGAAATATTTATTTATAAATTTATATTAATTAATAAGTTCAAATAAGTTGGTCTTTGTAATCTTAAGTGGATCGTAATAGGTGAATCACACAAGTAAATCTAATGGGTAGAGGCCTAATTTATAACCTTATAGTCATCAATTATTCTCTATCTCTTAACTGACCGGATCAAGAATAATGTGAGATAATTTATTTATTAAAGCGATTATTGATTTGATCCATGTAAGCCGATCAATTGATAACCACAAAAACACGATAGTTTTTTTACTTTTTCCATTATTTTTGAACTTTCTGTGAACTACAAGATCTAGTGAATTATGCATTTGTCTATATTCGAGATGATCAAGATATTTCAAGCAGTCATGAATTCTTTAAATATATACACATTATATTTTATTTAAATTTTATTTAATTTATATGAATTGAGATACTAAAATTAATTCTGCGTCCAAGGATTTTGAATCACTGGCGCACGCGGGAGAACCTAATATATCCAACCCAATTAACTTGCTTCACAACGTCAGCATTGTCTTTCAAAAGTCCTTTTTCAATTGCCACGCGGACAACTAGCTTGAATTATGTATTTATATGAAACATGAATTATGTGTATATCTTGCAATCATTGCTCATTTGAATTTGGTTGTCTGTGGGACTGTAAGTGTTTGAATATTGATTTAAAGGGCGATTTGATCGATCGGATGCGAGATTGGCAATATGTTGAAATGTGCCGTCGGAGAAGTATTGAATTGATTACAAACTTGCCGCTTAATTAATTAAGAACTCAGTCACGCTAACTCAAGCAGGTTTGGATAATAATTAATGAGAAGCTTGCAGCCAGAGTTGGTGGGAAGAATCATGTTGGTGTTGGCCAGGGTGATGAAGATATGACAGAATGAAGAGGAAATAATGTTGCTCACCTTTGGCCACATTTCGTTGTATCAATTGATGGCATGCTCTACGAGCGCAGCATCACTAGTTGGCTCCGTGGCTTACAAATACTGACTCTTCATCAGCCATTCTCAACAGCTCTCGAACCACTTCGCTTTCTAGATACTCAACGGGATCTCAAGCCTTCTCTCATCCTCAGTTCGTCTTTTAAAACGTGTTCTCATCCCTATCATCGCCTCCCATTCTCACCATTTTGACGCTGCTTAGGCAATGACTGTGACGAGTGGCTTCTACGAGGAGGTGCAAGTTTAGCTTGCATGTCTGGTTTGGCTGGTTCAGGTTAATTGGGAGAGCAAGAAAGATCCTTCAATCTTGCGATCCTCAGGGCTCGTTAAACAGGATCATGGATGCAGCTGGAGGAAGTTGGCTTGTGGACATTCTAGGACCCGCTCACAATTAACCTGTCATTGCCGGCCGCAGCTCTCATGCAGGCTTGAATTGATCTCCGAGTTCAAGTTAACTAGTGAAACTAGTTTTAACCCAAAACTAGTAGGTATGGAATGCGAGTATTGGATTGCAGCCATCATTAAAACAAAGCCCAAGTCATTGAGGCTGGGCAGGGCATGACTATGGTCTATGGGCCGGGATTGTGACAAAGCCTGGAGCCATGTTGGGGTGTGATTTGAAAAAGATCTCTCTTTGTTGACTCCGCGTCACCACTAGTCCTCGTTTGATTTCCTTCTTGCATTTTCCAACCACCCAAAAAAAGGAATGTTGTTACAAGAAAAAAGACATCTTTTTTCTTGTAACAACCTTGCTTTTTCTTAAATTATTGGACTCGCCTCTCTAATATTAAAGCCTCTCCTATGTTGCATGTCAATTGTCAATTCACTTTTATTGAAAACTCTGACTCTGCTTCTCCTTACCGGTCCGCGTTGTTGACCAACAAGGAGCGATAAGATGTTGTTTGTATACTGGTTGGGGTTGCTACTATGACTGCCAGAATCTTGTTGAATTATTGTTTATATTTGAATATTATTCTTATTTCTAATTCTAATATGCCCACTGTAAATTGCAACAGATAATGTAGAATCTTCATTAATATCAGTTGTGAGGGCTGTGGGAGAAATGCTTGCGCTGGTATAGGATTATTGTTTGCATGATTAAAATTAGTGTCGTATGAATACTGGAAAGCACAATTCTTGAAGGTGTTGCAGTTTGTCTTATGCTATACACTCACTGAACATATTCATTACTCAGCAGCCTTGGATTCGGAATGATTACTCAATGTCCCTTGATAATTTTCCAAAACCTTGCATGTATGACACGCTAGGATTTTAGCCTCTCTGAATTAAAGAAGTGAGAGCTTTGAAATCTAAGTCCATGAGGTGACGAAACCGTACAAAGAATCATTTCATCGATCCTCCTCATATACATGCTTCCATTTCGTATGTTAGATAAACAACCACTACCACCACCTGCAATTGACATAATCTGTCCCCATGGATTCTCCACAAAAACATTAACAAGATGCTACATAGTAAACAACGAACCTCTATATATAGCTAAGTGTTATCGACTTCATAGAAGTCTGAGAAGCAAGAATTATAGAAGATGAGCAGCTGCTCGGGAAAATTGTTCAGCTCGGGAAGGAAGTGGAAGAACAAATTGATTAGTTTCGGGAGGAGAAGGTTGAGTAAATTTTTAGGGAAAGTTGGCAAGTTTGTGATATACACGAGCGTCAGACTCGGTTTGTGATGCCAAAATAGAGTACCCATGCCATGGCATCTTCCGAGGGCTGTTGAGCATGTCTAATGACAGGTGTGGCAACTCTATTCAAGGCCCATCGCCATCTTTCTCATCCAAACAGACGTCGCCAACGGCTCAGCCTTCCACAAAACTTCTCTTCCTTCTCGTCATTATCTTCTACCCAGATTTCCATAAGCATTAAGCAATCAGGTTTGTGTATATTTTTGTAATTGCAACCATCGGAGAAAGTTTTCTCCTGTCTCTGTCCTTTGTTATATAGCTAAAATGCATCTTTTAGATCTCATCAAGTAGCAGCATTTCAACTGAATTATGGAGTTACTACTTATTATTAGTATTTTCACAGTATTTCCATTTTGTATTGGACAGATTTTTTTTCTTTATTCGTTAGGTGATCATATGCTTTAATTATAATCCATTCCTCCTTTCCATACATCCGGCAGCGAAGGACAAAAAACACTCGTCTCTGTATAGCTTTTACCGTGTTCAACTTTGGGTGCATCTGAACGCTTCCGTAACGAAATTTCACACTACAAATTAAACTGACCTGATAAACTATTAAAGATATTTCAAGACCGCTAGTACAGGTCTAAGTCAAGCACGCCAATCTAATCAACCTAGTGTTATAAGCGAAAGGCAAAAATTAAAGCACTTTTCCGCGTCAGTCAGCTTTGTTTAAGCATTATTAATAGAGAAACGACGAGCAAAAGAAAAAGCATGCAGCTTTAGAGTGAGAAAGCAAATTAAAGAAAAAGATGCCCCGTAGCCTCAATCATTCGTCTTAACATTGAAAGACCCTCTTTGCTTGGACCTCCTCAAATCTGCAATCCCAATAACCATGGTGATGAACTTGAGAAACATTGAAAGACCAACCGTCTGCTTCTCTCTTATCTTCTTCTTCTTTCACTCTCAACATCTCTTCACCATCCCAGTCACTTGCTACAATCCTGCAGATGATAAGCTTGCCATCAACTGTGGCTCCTCGGACAATTCAAACACCACTTCAGATAACAGAAGATGGATACCAGATGACGATTCCAAATTATTTTCCCTTGGCCAAGACAGCCAGACCTCAATCGCTGCCGTTGCAGTTCCGATTCCTCCTGAACTGGAGGAAGTTCCTTATGCCACGGCACGCCTGTCTCCTTCTGAATTCACCTATTCCTTCAAGGTCACTGCTGGCCAAAAGTTTGTTCGCCTCTTCTTTTACCCAGCTCAATATGCCAAATTTGATCGTTCCAATGCTCTCTTCTCCGTTAAAGCAGGACACCACACCCTTCTTAAGGACTTCAATGCTTCACTGACCGCTGATAACGATGATGATGTCGAAGAATCAACAGTGTTCAGAGAGTACTGTATCAACGTGGAACCTGGTCACAGGCTAAACATCACTTTCACTCCCAGCAGTGATCATCCAGACGCCTACGCGTTTATCAATGGGATTGAGGTTGTGTCCATGCCCGCCGATCTTTATTACAAAAAAGCTGATGGCCCAGCGCTGAAGCTAGTTGACAAGAGTAATCAGATTCAAGTTGATTACAACGCTGCTCTGGAGATGGTGTACAGAATCAATGTTGGTGGGGATGAGATTACAGCTAACCAAGACACTGATGGTATGCTTCGCTACTGGCATAACGAAACTGGTTATGGCGATGCGGTGATGGGAACCTTGCAAAATCTAAATGATGATTATGGTAGAAAGCTGATATACCCAGTTAATCTTCTTAAAGACGCAGCACCAAAGGAAGTCTATTTAACTGCACAGACCTCTAAAGATACAATGACTTGGGAGTTTAAAGTGGACTCAATGTTTGCTTATATGATCAGACTCCACTTCTGTGAGTTGGATCAGAACGTCCAGGAGGAAGAAAGAGTCTTCCAGATATTCATAGCTGACACTTTGGCTGAGTCTCATGCCGACGTGATTGGTTGGGGGGAAGATAGCCGAGTTCCTGTTTATAAGGACTATGCTGTTTTCTTGAAGAAAGGAAACTTGAAGAGGCAGAACCTTTCAATCAAGTTGCAGAGGCTCCGAAAAAGCAAGTACGATGTCATATTGAATGGGATTGAAATTTTCAAGATCATTGATGGTAGAGACAATCTTGGAGGGCCCAATCCAAATCCAGACCCAACTTCTTCACCAAGCAACCCATCAAGAACCTCGAAGAAAAATACAAAAACTCCCATGATGATTGCCATTGCGTGTGCAGCTTTAGGTGTCATTGTACTCTCTGTCATCAGTTTCTTAATTTTTCGGCGAAGGACCAGAGGTTCAGAGAACAGGACAGCTAAGAAATCATTGGATTTGTGCCGTAACTTTTCCATTGCAGAGATCAGAGCTGCCACCAACAACTTCGATAAACTATCAATCATTGGTCATGGAGGATTTGGTGAAGTCTATAAAGGACATATTAACATGGGCGGGACATCAACCCCTGTCGCCATCAAACGCCTCAAAGCAGATTCAGAACAAGGGCACGATGAGTTCCAGACGGAGATCAACATGTTGTCGCAATTTCGCCATCCTCACTTGGTTGATCTCATTGGGCAGTGCTATGATGGCAAGGAGATGATCCTGGTCTATGAATTCATGGCCCGCGGGACCCTCAGAGACCATCTTAACGAATATGTTAAGCAGCCGCTTTCGTGGAAGCGAAGGCTGGAGATCTGCATCGGAGCAGCAAAGGCGCTGCTCTATCTTCATAGCAACACTGGTGAGAACAAGCAAACAGTGATCCACCGTGATGTGAAAAGCACAAACATTTTGCTAGGCGAGGATTGGGTAGCTAAGGTTTCGGATTTCGGATTGTCCAGGATCGGGCCAGATGGGATGTCCAGGTCTCATGTTACCACAGCCGTCAAGGGCAGCATCGGGTATATAGACCCAGAATACTGCGAGAGTCAGCAGTTAACCCCGAAATCTGATGTTTACTCCTTCGGTGTGGTTTTGCTTGAAATTTTGTGTGGAAGGCCACCCATACTTCGAAGCGTGGGGAAGCAGCAGGGACACATAGTGGAGTGGGTTAAGAAATGCCACGAGAAGGGAGAGATTGGGGAGGTGGTTGATCCATTTTTGAAGGGAAGCATAACACCTCGGTGTCTGAATAAGTTTGTTCAAATAGCATTGGCTTGTCTGTGTGAAAATGGGAAGCACCGGCCATCGATGAGGGATGTAGTGAGGGGCTTAGAGACTGTGTGGAAGATACAAGGGAGCACGGAGGATGAGATCCCGAGAGATGATGGGCAGCCAAAGAGTGAGGACAAGACCACTCTGACCCGATTTACAAGAGATGAAGAAAGTGGAGTGCAACTCTCGACTTCAACAGGATCCATCACGACGGATCAGTCCAGGTGCAGCAGTAAGGTAACCATCACAAGTAGTGAAGAGGACCAAGCTTTGGTTCCTGCAGGGGTGTTCTCTGAGCTTGCCCATCCGACGGCACGATAACTTGATAAGGTACTGATGGATTCTTCATTCCCATTCATCCAACAAGTCAGTGTGTGTATATATATATATATATAGAGAGAGAGAGAGAGAGAGTATGCTGTAAGTTGAACAGGGTATTGACATCCCCTGGCCTTCTGGATTACGCGCAAGCTCATCCTTCACCTAGCCTCTGCTAATGGTTATAAGTCACAGTTTCAAGATCAATCGTGCAGTTGATTCGAACTAATTAGAAATTTCACGACTAGAGATGAAGAAAAGGCCTTTCTTAAAGATAAAAAGTGGCAACCAGCGAGGTTCAAATTCTAAAAGTAGATTAACACCTTTAGACCCACAATATCACTGTCTGCATTGCAATTGGACATGCCCGTCTCTTTCTTATGCTCATATCCCTTTCATAATCTTGAAATCAAATTGTTGCCCATAACAGGCATGCACCCTTCTGCTGCGGGTCTGAGTAAATAGTATCCGAATTATTAATTGGAGGCTCCTTCCGAGAGTCAGCCTCAGGCTAATATTTACTTGTCAGATGTTGAGAGAATCTTAAGTTTAAATGTTCAAGAGAGCTAGAGTAATTAATTCATGGAATCAAGAAGCTGTTTGTATCCGCGTAGATCCGAGCATCAGGGAAAAGTGGAATTTAGATTTTATTAGGCATTGAGTGCGTGTACCGTTTGAGTCATTAAAATTTAAATTAATAATTTTAATAAACTCACTCATTTATTTATCTTTAAGTTAAGTATGAATTCAAAATTATTAATCTAAATTTTAATGGTTCAAATTGTACAAGCACTCAATAACTATATTAAATATACTCATCAAATCTAACATTAGGAAAAATGAAAATCAAAAGGGATGGAATAATTTATTACATGCTGATGGCAGAATATTGGAGATGGGCTTTTAGTAGGGGCGTTCACGGGACGGGATCGGGACATCGCTGTTTCATGTCCTGTCCTGAAAAAAGGATCGAGATTGAATTTTGATCCCTTGTCCCGTCCCGTCTCATCCCATTAAGAGTTGGGATGGGATCGAGACAAGATCGATGCATCTCACTATTCCGATAAATAGAATAATATTAGAGAAAGATTTGAATAATAACATTCATTAAAATTTTAAATCATATAATTTATTAAGTTTAAAATTAAAACAACACAGGTACATAAATTACAACAATTTAAAGTTAATTATTGAATTATATTAATCATAATTACACATTATAATAGCAAATACAAGTTATCTTTTTGTTATAAGAGTAACAACAACAGGCAAGTCAAGCACAATATCAAATCATTGTTCTTTTATTTTAGTAGAGATGTACTAAGCTAATTACTCTTCTAAAAATAAAGCAAGAAATATGTTATAAATAAAAGTTATTAAATAGATAGATATAAGAATAAATTATATTAATATACTTAATAAATTATAAAAAAGATATCATCATGTTTACTCTATATTATTAAAATTATTAATATAAAAAAATTTTTGTTTTAAATAAGAATTACAAGTATTGAAATTATAATTAATATAAGTATGAATTATATTAATATAATTAATATATTTAAAATAAAAAATAATATATATAATATTCGAGACAGGATGGGATGTCTCGATGGTAATCTCATATCCCGTCCCGTCTCGAACCTCTTTTTTATCCCATTCCGTAAAATCTCGTTTCAATTATTTTTAGATCGGGATAAGACCCGTCTTGATATGATCTAAATAATACCGAGCCAATCGAAATGGATCTAAACTGAACACTCTTACCTTTTAGACAAATCTTTCACAGTGACATTTCTCCAAACAAATCACTCGAGTTTCTCCGCTTCAACCAGCCCTCTTCAACATAACTACCGTAAAGATATATTTTTTCCCTTGAATTTTTAATTCTTTTTTATTTAAAATAAATGATAAAAGTAAACAAATTAATGATGGTATTGAATAATCTAGTATAAAAGTTGCCAACTGTTGGAAAACGGAAAACAGCTGGTTGAACGTATATCAGAAACACCTTGAACTTGTTTTGCTCTGAAAATTAACTTTTGCAAATCCAAAATATGGTTCCCCCCAACTCAAGATGACGAGCATATGATGAAAGACTAACACAGTCCATAATGATATGTATTAATTGCTAAGCAAAGAGAAGAAACGAGAGAAAAGAAAAGGCAAGAAAGATTAATACACAAGAACGTGGAACAGAGACAAAACTTAGTACGTTACAAGACGTCAATACTAGAATTTCCATAAAATACTAGAGTGTAAGAGAAGAATATCAGAGGCCTCCTAAAAACTTCGGCCATCAAGCTAGGGTTAGCTTGTTGAAATTCAAATAATTGCTATAAAGAAAAATAACCATTATCGTCTTTATCGATCTCTGCCATTCGACCTTGGATTTCTTTAGGTGAAGTTGCCCTTAAGGCTTTGAGGGCTTCTTCAAACTCTGTCAGCAATATTTTTTTGTCATTATTCATATCAAAACGCTTGAATATACGTTCACATTCTGCACTAATATTCGATGCGTCATCGGCCATTGTAATGTAATTTTGTTATAAGGTTAATTCATAAATTTGATACATCACCAAGCAAGGACTCATACAGTTAACATATTCAGAACAAAGAGGAAGTGCCTCTTGACCTGGTCTTCCCCCTTCATCATCGGATCTCATAGGAAATTTTCATGAACAGGCAATAAAATTCACAACTAGGTCTGTATCTGGTCAATTTTAGATTTTTTTAAATTTAAGAATTGTTTAGTTCAAGGGTTTTGAGAGGGAGGGGAGAGGGTCCCCTTCCCTCGTTTGCTTGACAATTTTTGGAGGGGAGAGGAGCCAAAATGCCCTTTCCCTCTCCTTCTGCTTTTATTGCTTTCCTTTAAATTGAGATGTTTTTGGGAGGGAGTTAAAATTTTTGAGTGATTTACACTTTGATGCTTGGTAATATTTCTTAAATACCTTTTATCATGTTTTTTCATATGTCTCGATTTCTTGTCGGCTCACCCAGATTCATCTCTGTGTCGGCACTTACTCCATCATCTCACTGTGATCTTCGAACTCATTGCATTTCTTGATTGCCTCGTGAGCAAGTACCTTCAATTGATTGACCCAACTCTACAAGTTGGATTTGGAGCTTGACGCTCCACCATGATGACTTTAATAATTGGGTATCAAATGAGCACCTGGGGGAGGTTTTCTTTCTTTCTTTTTCCCAAGACCAGGAAAGAAGCTTTTTAATTGAATGAATTTTATTTTACAAATGTTAAATTATATATTTAGCTTATAATTAAATTTGAGGAAGTTTAATGGATTTTTAGGAAAAAATAGTTTTATAATTAAATTTTACTTTATATAAGGAACAAATTTTAAAAAAATAAGATAACATACAAGGACATAATAGTAAAATATTTATTAAATTCCTTTCTCTCCCCTCCTAAATCAAATAAGATATCATTAAAATTCTTACCCCTCCTCTTGAACCAAATACACCTTTAGGTGTAATCAACTAGAGGAAATTGGGGGGGAGGGGAGATGCCTCCTTTCTCTTATTTGGTTTGAAAAATTTAGAGGAGAGGTAAAATATTTCCTTCCCTCATTTTAGTGTCCTTTAAATTGAAGTTTTTGTAAAAGGGAGTTAAATTTTTTAACTAATTTGTCTTTATCCAATTTTTTTGTGGTTCATATATGCCTATAGTAAAAAAAAAAAAAAATCTCCTTGTTCAAGCATGCAATTTCTCTTGCCATTCCCTTCTCATTCATAGCCCTCATAATTTTTTTTCTTTTCATTTTTCTTTTCAATATATCTCTTATATTTTTTTCAATATTTCTATTACTTCTAATTTTTTTGAATGTCTAATGTTAGAACAATAAAATATAATATGTGAAAAATAATGATAAATATTTTGAATGAAAAATATAAATAACTAGAAAATTTGCAGTGCATGGTTGAACAACGAACTCCGTCCTCCTCCATTACATATAAATATATGAAGTAATCTATTTAAAAAGAAATAAATTGTGTTTTCTATAACATGAGACTCATATTTCATATAATGAAGTTTTATTGCATAGTTGCGTGTACAGATCAATATAATTAATTAATATGATAAAATTAAATAATTAAAAATTAACATATAAAGGATACAATAATAAATTAGTCATTACTTTTACTTCCGTCTTCCTCTCAAACAAAATAAAAAGTCATTAAAAACCCTTTCCTTCCTTTCGTTCTAACAAAACCAAATTAAACTAAAATTAAAACCCTCCTTTTTCTTCTTCTTTTCTTGAGTCAAACATACTTTAAAGCAATCTCTTATTATTGTAATTTTATTATTTATTTAATTATGTGGCAATTGTAAAATTATATTTTTTTTTCAATTTTTAAAATTTTAGCTGTATCATTGAGTTTGCCCAATTTCTTCTCCATAATATTTCCATCTACCGTTTAACATTTTCACCTCAATTTCAGATTATAGGAGCAAAATATTACATCTTCTAAAAATAAATAAATAAATAAAATATTACTTATCATATTATTGTATATTTATTAATCTTTTTAAAGAAGTGCATATAATTTTGCAAGAATGAACTCTATTTATTATAATTATTTCTAATCTCCCTAATAAATAAATTGATTCTAGTGAAAAATTATTACTTCTGATTTCCATTATTATTGCCTTTATATCTGAAAACACTAAGTAAATGTTTGGTTTTTCTGGCAAAAATTAATTGATCAAAAGTTCATTTAATAAAAATTAATTGTTATAATAAAATTATGTTTGAATATTTTTTAAATATATATTCAAATCATGTTAGAAAATGCTTTTCAAAAGCACGTTTCCTCACTTATTTGATAACCAAATAATATTTTCCATTTCATATGTTAGGAAATGTTTTCCAGATATAAAATATGACTTACCCAAACATACACTAATTTGATTATAATTTCAAGATATTAATCTCGAATATATTGTTTAAAAGTTTATAGTTTTACTAGTAGTAGTTGAGTCGGGGGTGGTGGAAATTGATCCATTTTAATCTTAAGTGAGATCAAGAGTTAGAAACCTGGTTTTACTAAAATAAAGACAAATCGATTGATTGACGGCCCAAAAAATGAGAGTGGGTCCGAAAGGAAAAACTTGGTGATCCAAAGCCTGTGCCTGCTTGCCATGGCTTCCCTTCCCGCTTCTTCAAGCTTTGCTTCCCCGAACTCAGCTTTGTCTGCACCCTCTGCAGATGAGCGTCTTCGCTTCGTTGAGTTCCTCATCCACTCTGCTCAAGTAAACCATTCTCTGCCCCCCACCTTTCTCCCTTTTCTGTGCTATTTGTTTCAAATTTTTATTCTCCGTGTAGCAACTGGAAGTCGCTCCCATTGTTAAATACTCGGCATTGTCATTGCTTGTTGATCGTTTCTTTCTTTCTTTGCCCAGGTAATCTTCCTCTTCCTGTTTCTCACAATTTTAATCACCGATTGGATTCTTTAATTTTCACTCCGTATAGCTATTCCATTTGCTCCATGATTTTGTTGCATTATACTTGGCGATTCTGAAGTTTCATGGAAGCTGGTAGCTCGAGAAGCTGGCTCTTGCATCCCGTGACAGAGAGCAATTTGCAGCTATTTGGGCTGATTTCTTTATGGATTTCAAGCAAAGTGGGTTTTTACGCATTTCATGGATTTTTTTGCCTTCGTAACTAATTTGCTGTAAACTTAAAATTCTTTTTATGACACTACATAGAGCTACGCAGATACATGATTCTTATCCACTCTCTGTGAGATGTTTGAAGTGCTTGGCTAACAATATCATCAAGGATCAACACTTTGCAACTCGAGATTTCCTCGAAGCAGTAAGTTCCTTTCCCCCCCCTTTTAACTATGAGACTGTTGACTATGAATCATCTACATTCTTGGTGGTTGATAACTGATATTGATATCTGCAGGAGGTTCTCTTCATGCAGGTAAAAACTGAGAAGCCTGCTGGGTATTTTGTTCTCAATTGGTTGGCTAATACGATTTGGTACTTCCAAAGGTGTTGAATTTTGAGATTGGCACAACAAATATTGCTTTTTTGTTCCTTGAAGAGCTTTGGATGCAGATCCAGTGAGTCGTATTTACAAGATAGAAATTATATACACACATCAGTTTTTTTATTCCGTTTACTAATTCTCTTCTTTTGGAGTGAAGAAGAGTGGCCAAAGTTGGTGATCTTATCAACTTTGAAGCATGCATAGAAATTATGGATCTTCTCTATGAAAAGGAGGAGACATCATTTCTTTACAAGTCTCCTTGCTCTCTCGCGGCATCAATCTTGGTATTATCTTCGTTGGTTATTTCCTAATTCCAGTTATTTATAATAACGAAAGCTATTTGTTTTTGGCAAGTTATTCTCTCTTTCTTTCTTTTTTTGGCAGGTTGCGTCTTATTTGATCACTGTTCCAAAACAGAAATCGGAATTTCCACTTCTTCCATGGGGTAAGAAAGGTTTGCTCGGATTTCATTGGCTGATTTTGATCTAATAGATATTATTTTAAGTAATTATCATTTAATATTTACGAACCCTCACCAGTCTCACCTACAGAGGTTACTTTTAAGTTTTTACACATTTGTGTTGTATCCATATGTTATTCTTAATGAAAATTGAGAAAAGTTCTATTTTCCGGATGTGAAGTTTCCTATTGGGTAATGGTTGTCTATTACATTGATTTTTACACACAGGTTTTCAATTTCTCTCCTTTCTAATGATACAAGATGCCTACAGTTTACAGTATCAGCTACCAGCTTACCCACTTTCAGAATTGTTGCTGCAATTTGTGTGTCCTGTTTCTTACAATGATTTTGTCATTACATTCATGAATCTAACAATCCATGTCCTCATCTTCTGAGGGTTGAATCCGTAGTAAAATAAAATTAGATTGTTCATTTCTTCTTTGTTTTTTTAACTTAATTTATGGACTTCACGTGGTGAAATTGAATATAGGCAAACTCCAGATACCTGGAAACTAACGGAAGTATTTTGTTGTCAGTGAAATTTGTAACTTCATGTAGAGAAGAGGAGATCATAAAAATTGTGAGGGACATTCTCAAGCATGTACTCCATCCTTCCTCTGATCTCCAAGGTTAGTGAACCTAAAGATTGAATCATTTTGGATGTCTTGAATACATACGAATACGTATTGAGAACAGGTTTCATTTTGATTGTCCTTTGCTGTTTTTGTTTTCGTTTTTGGTTGAAAGGCGATGGGTCACAACTCACAGTCGTGAGGCCTACTTATTAATCCCTGATCACACAAACACATTGTAAGCCCTAAACATTCTTGGGGCAGACTTCTGCAACTGAGTTTGACGAAGAAGCTAATAAAGCTTGTATAACAACTAGGGTGTTTGTGAATTCTCAGTATTATTTGTAAACAGTGGTATTAACTATGTATTTACCTTATCTTAACTCAGATGCTTCAACATATTTCATTCACCAAATAACATCTGAGATTCTACCAGTTCAACACTGAGACAATCTTTTATAACTTAGAACAGTTCATAGAGTTATTGAACGGTCCTGCATATCTTTTGGAAAAAGAAAGCTACTTTGATGGTAAGTGTTATAGAAAGTTGAAAACACTGGGCAGAGAGCTCTCAACAGTCAACATATTGATTTGTCTTGCAATCATTTTCCATAGCGTGGGCATGATTACAGTACATAAACCCGATCTGGCACAGTATGAGGCACACGAACAAAAGAAGAGAGTGAACCAATTTTTTTTTTTTTCAAAAGGGGTTTTTTGGCGGGCCAACAAGAGAATGACAATTTCTTAAGCTTCAATCTTGAATTACTTTTTATTGTTCCTGCAGGGTGTCTGAAATTTGCAAACCGCTAGTCTTGATCAAAACATGGTTCTAACCAAAATCCTTTTAGTTAGTAACAGTAACCTTTGTCGATAAACATGTGCCATTGACAATTATTTTGTTTAAGACTAGAAGTCTCGAAGGATATGTTGCTCCTTAATTATTGTTGTTTTAATGTTAAAAAAGAAGTGTGGTCAATGGCTAAATTAAATGCACAGCCAGCTATGCTGACTATTTGACCCCTTTACTTTGAACGGTGTGGTCCATCACAGGCACTGTTGATCACACTGATCCTTTGAAATTGAGTGCCGAGTTCACTCACTGTGTCCAATCCAAAACCCCCTCTCGCTTTATAGTAGTAGACTCGTCCCTGTCGGTGGCCTGTCTATTGCTCTCACCACAAGACAAAAACCTTTCTTTTCTCGTTCAGGCCCCATCCATCCTTCCTTCTTGTTCCCATTGCCACTTTCGTTTGAGCTGTCAATGACCATGAACCCATTCATCAATACAATGCCAAGGTGATTACAAATTCTAATTCGAACTCCGTATCCCTTTAGTTAATTGACTTTCATTTTCAATATAGTATATTTATACTAGTAAGGGTTGAGAGCGACCTGTAGACCCCAAATACAGACGTATACCTTTACTTGTGAGGCTAATTTTATTATAAGCCACTGATACTCATAATTTTTTATATGAAGACGCCCCATTTCACAGATGTTATGGTTGTCAAGTCATGCTGACGGGAATGCGCATCTACTTTTTAAATTTGCTTTTGCGTACCAAAAGGTGGTTGAATCAATATATCTCATTAACATTTCTCTTAATTCAAGTATTAACATTGTTGTTATGAAAACTAATTAGCACACCCAAAGCCCAAAAAAACAAGTCACGATACTCTACAATATTGTATAGGTAGCATCAACATGTGTGGCAGACCCAACTCCTAATTAACAATTGGTTTCTCTTTTTCCCTCGCCAGCGTTAAGTCAAAAATTAGCGGTGTTCTTTGTGTTGCCTGCAGTTTTTTAGGGGGTGTTTCGCTCGAAGAAATTGAAGATAAGTTTTTCCCCTGTTGCACTGAAGACGATATATGTATAAAAATAACTATTAACTTAATAAATCTGTTATAATCATTGAATAATAATTATTCTTTTATCATTATTATTTATTTTTAACGGGCACATAATATTTCCAACTTTACAATTA